CCCCGCGCGGGGAGAAAAAGGATTACGGAGCACGCCAGGCGTCTCGCAGGTCTGTGCAGGTCGGCCGGGGCGCACAGCTGGTCTGTCCAAAATTCCTTCCCATTCATCTACCTCGGAATCCACTCGCGAAGCCGTCCAAGACTATGATCAGATCTCAGGCCCACTCTTGGCGACCCTTGGCCCCGAACATGACGCGGTTTTTCTGTGTTGGATGTTCATCTCCCCGGTCAAACAATGTCAAACATCTATATCTGATCATGGGGTGTCGCTGATTTGGTGTATGTTGGACTGGCATTCTTTGATGGTCCCATATCTCTCTCATCTGTTTGCTTATTAGTCCTAGGATTCTGAGTTCTTTTAAAAAAGGTGCACAGAACTTGTAGTGCTCTCCACGATGGGAGCACGTGCTCCGAAACCACTTCAGGTGGGTGCTCCGAAACCACTTCCTCACGGGTCTGGACCAGTCGACACGAAAGGCCCAGGAGCGAGCGAAGCGGGTTCCTCCAGCTTCGGGGATCGCATCGAACGGAGAAAAAAGGAGGAGCCAAGTGAGCCAACTCCACCGTGAATGGGCAAGTCTACACAAGTTTGGTCTACACCATGTATTGATCTACATTGGAGTATCATATATGACCAGGTCAGTGACTCAGTGGATGGATGATGGTTAGGTTACAGGCTGACATCTCAAAAAATACGTATTGTCCTTTGACCCTTCCTGTGACTGGTTTACTGGGAGATACCCTACAGTATAGATGTATACAAGCATCCTGGAGTGGATAGAATATGAACCAATCCACCAAAACCTGAGACCAGTGTCCCCTTGTGTCTTTGATCTTCCCATCTGCGGACGACACCGTTCGCTCCCCTTCGCCCCCGGCCGGAGGCTCCGCGCCTTCACAGAACTCACGCTGGTGGCACTGGGCCCAGGAGCCTGGCGCAGGGTCGTTCGTGGGCGGGGTGGGTGGTCGACCTCGGTGTGTTTCACGTAACGCTGAAGGGTGTTTCAAACCATCCCAGACGGAAACAGTTTCGAAAAGTTGATTTCGTGTGTATGTATATGTTTTATAGACGCATACCAAATGAACTACGGGAGAATGGGAATCTATAGCCGGAGCCGATGATTGTGCCGTATAGCTCAACAATCATGCAAATCCTCCTACCCTAAGAATCCTTGGGCTCTCCATGGCAGGGGTCGGACCCTCCATAGCAGGGGTCTGGGCCCGCAAAACCCTATCTGTTTGAGGGCCCAGATTCTTAGGGTACAATTTAGAAACTGCTCTAGACTCTAGTTGAAGTCATGCTCGCAGAAAGAATGGCATTTGGGACCCTCCCTCCAAGCTGATCCAAGCTGATGAAGAAACCCAGCAACTCCCTAGTCCATGTTGCGAAATGGTTCGAGGATGTTAGAGGGAGGAGCATCCTGCTCAAACTCACCTCTCCCACAGCAACTTGGAAGAAGTGAACACAAATTGAACACAAAGGTCAATCCGCATCCCGAAGCGAGTAGATCTTCTTGAGGAACCCCCCTACCCTCCAAGAACCACTCTATATCCCTATGGATCCACGGATCCACCGTACCTCAGAAGGCGTCCTTGGACCCTCCTGGCGACCTAACGCCTACATCAAGGACCGTCTCCGTCCTCACCGTACCTGGTGGCAGTGGATCCGGGTTTCTGTCCACACGAGCGGTACAATTCCCAACGGCCGAGGTCTATCACTGATCCGGACAGACCTCGGTGGTGTGACCGACCTCGGTGGGGACCAACACACAGAGCGAAAAGCGAAAACGGTTTTTTCCGTCATTCTCGCGCCTGGGCAGACATCGACGAGACTGCCCCGTGATGCAAATCTTGAAAAAGGACGAATTGGATGTTCTCTCTTCTACCTCAGCTGAGCGGCACTAAAACAAACTCAATGACTAAATAGACCCTCCCTGGCATCCCCTTATGAGCTGGTACAACTCATTTCAACCACATGACAGGTTTCCTCCCATCCTACTTACAACCTACTGATTTCCAAACGACTCCCAGGGCAGACTGCCAGGCCGAGACCCAGCCACCCTCCAGGAGAGGCCCTCATCCGGTCCCGACCAGACCGCCCAGACCGGTCACTGCGGCAGGGCCCTCAGACTCTGGTGGAAGAGGTGGTTTTGGTTCGGGTGGGGTTTCGATTTGTCAGACCAGAAGCAAGAATCCAAAAGACGTTGATGTATACCAGCAGAGGTTGAAGAGGTGTGGTTGGACCAATTCCTATCCTAGTTGGGTACCCCTGGTTTTCCGGGTCCTATTTACAGTCACTGAACCTCTGTAGGTACATCAAGAATTGATGGCGCGCTAGTAGTTGGGGCGCTCCGGTAGTTGGTCTTTCTTTTGGACAGAGTGCAAGGTGTGGGTCAAAAGGGAATGATCCCCATGTTCTTTAACCTCCCTGGTATACCATGGGTCCCCTTGATACATATATATATATATATTGTATATAATATACAGCTGACACTTTCAGGTTTGTGTTCCAACGAAATATGACACTCCTTTCAGGGTTATGTTGCAACATGTCACAGAGCTCCAACATCAGGCTATCAACACCACTCGCCGACTCCCAAAAAGAAGGATCAACCAGTCAACCGTTCAATCCTTCTCTCGATGACAATGCTGAAATGACAACATGGACCTCTTGATCAACTGACTTGGTCACATGGACCTCTTCCATCGCCTCGAGGCCGACCAGGACCTCCGTCCAGACGGTGCGGCGGCACCGTCTTCACCGGCCGACCAGGACCACCGTCGCCACCCGGACCAGTTGGGCCTCCACGCCACAGTCGTGTGAATTGACACGGCATGTCTGAGCCAAGGCCAAGCAGCCAGAAGCAGCCGGTGCAGCCGGTGTGACACCGGCAGGAGAATCAATACAAGACACAATAGAAGAAGAGACGACACACACACTCTCTTCTTCTATTGTCAACCTCTCTTCTTCCTCTATACGCAAAACTCTCTTCTTTCTTCTTTCTCTTTACCAATTGCTTGGGCGCGTGTCTCTCGGTGTTCTTTCCCGGGACGCGGAACACGGTTCGAACCGTGGGTCCCCAGGTTTCATCCATACCCCTCTGCCCACCCATCTGAAAGACGTCCTAAATGAGACCCGAAATCGGCAAAAAAAGGTGATAGCGGATGATAGCGGATGATAGCGGTCTCGTGATGTTCCAGATCAGACTGAACAGCCCGGCGTTCTTGTTGGGGAAATGTCTATAGGCTATAGGATCAAGAAAGTTCCTGACACCGATCCCGAATTTGATATCTGGAACAAATACCCTCTCTCTCTCTCTCTCTCCCTCTGCGAGGTCGCTTGCAACTGGGGGTTCAATGTTCAGACCAAGCTAATTACTGCTGTGTGTAAAGAGTGCATCAGCAGAAAATACATGTATGTCTTGAATGGATCCATCGACACCAAGGGACCAAGTGTGTCCAAAGTTTCGATCAAAATGATGAATTGGTCCATCAAATGCCGCAGAAATCCCGGATTCCATGCGCCAAACCATTGTGAAGATCTGCGAAAGGATTCTCAAAGGTCACTGTACTTCCCCAAGGACATAAGCCTTTTGTCTCCATATCCTCTTCTTTCACCCAATACATCAGAGATTCTGACCGTCTCGTATCAAACACCAGCCCGTGAGACCTTTCTCCTGCCTATCACTGCCTATCACGTTCCACTACCATCCACGACCCACCAAACGCCATGTTTCATCCTTCTTTGGCAGTCTTCCGGGGAACCACGTGGACTGGCTTCCCACGAAACGAATGGACGCTCTTCCTCGTGTTGAGGGACAGCGAGATCGGAGCGAGAACGAGCAGAAAGACACTTGGACAAAGTCCCGGATGCACTTGCTGAAGCGGTGCGGAGCTATGTGATGTCTTCTTCTTAGCACGATCAAGATGTTGTCCGATGACAAAAAAAAAAGGAGTTTTCCAAAGTCCAACCAGAAAGAAATGCTGGATAACTCTGATTCAATACGCTGCCTCCTTCTTTCACTCATGTCGCGAGGGCATCCTCATCACAGCATCACCCAGATTCATGTCACAAAGGTCAGACCGTTCGAGAACGCTTTGACCCCCCCAGAGTTCCAGATGTTCCAATCACTTGTGGACTCGCCGTGTGACGTTCACCACCCGACGTCGGACGTTCTCCTTTTTTTCGTGGTCCCCAAAGAGAATAGATAGTGGCACGGTGCTTCACCCCCACATTCTTGGTGGGGATCTATGAACGTCTATCTATTTGGGGGGATGGTTAGAGGGAGGGTCTATAGTGCATGCAAATGAGCCAACTCCCCAACAGCATCTACAACTGGCCCTTCTCTTCCCGCCGCCCTGGCGGACTGTAGCCATGCCAAAAAAGAGTGTGGGAAAAAAATACACATCTTGGGTCTATCCCATGACCAGGGATAACAGTGGATTTATTCCGCTTTGGTTAGCTTGCAGGCCTTTATCTAAAATAGCGATGTTCTTGTTTACGGACTGCTCTTACTGCAGGTGTCTATGGTTTCTATGTCAGACCGACACTTCTCTGAGAGACAGAGAGAGAGCTTTCGATGCCAGGTACTCACATAGTCCAACCGGACTGGGTTGTTCATCAACCAACCAATAGTTAAAAAAGATGTGTTAAAAGCCTGGGCCTGAATATGTGGGTTAAAAATATATCAATGGATTCAGGCCTGAATATACAGTAGTGTTAAAAATATAGTGCTAAAAGCATGAACCCATGCTTGAGGCAAGCTGAAGCTAACTCATCTTGCCTTGCAAAAAAAGGAAAATCTATGGAATGCGTTCTTCCCTGAGACCTTTTGGAGGAGTGCACAACCTGTGTAAACAGGAACAAATCAAACCTCCGGTTTAGCTTAACAAGAGACAATGTTCGAAGAGTTTCGTGGGTGCTTGATGGCGCAGAACTCGTTTGATAATACCGTACCAACTCCACAGTAGAGCAACTCGGAAACTATTCGATCATGTAATGGACCTTCACATCAAGAAAAGAAATAGATCGTTGAACATCTTCTGCCCGCGCACGAACGTAGAGTCTAAGATCTGACGCAAACGCGCCACATTCTGCGTGCGTTTCGCGTGGTGGTGGCCAGCTCTAAGCACGTCAGTCATCGTCAGTCATCTGGAGGCAAGCAAGTTAAGCTTAGCCAGGCGCCCATACCACACACCACCGCCTGCGCTGTGCGCGCTGTGCGCTGTTCCCGATAGAATCACAGCTTCACCAGTGACAGAAAAAGACGCTAAAGGACCCCTGTTTGGAATGCAACTGAAGGAGATCTGATTCGAAAAATGAATGAGTCTTTGTATGGATGTGCCATCAAATTAGAAGACTGCCCAGAAACCACGATTCTATTTTTTCCGGACCTCAACAAGACAACCGGACTGAGATCATGCTCTCATTCCCTGGTAAAGGCCCATCTCTCCGTCGGCAAACCTAGCTGGGGGAGAAAACCGGGGCACCGGGCTCCAGGCTTTGACCCTGGCGCCCGCCCCTTTTCGTCAGGTCCCGGTGAAACCTTCGCAGCGGCTGCGACGCGAACACGGAACACGTCGCCTGCAGGCCCATGACAGCGGGTACCTCGCCGCGCCAGGCCGAAGCTTGGCAAATCGTAACGACGGTGCATTACACCCTGGTGTAATACGATCCCATGGAATCTGAAAACGCCTAGGACCAGGACGAGGAGGACAAATCGTCGAAACCGGACCAGGACGGACGTCAGGGTCTATGTGAGTTGACTCGGGAGTGTACTACTATGACTACAAGTCGATAGACCGTCAGTCTGTCAGTCTGGACCTGAAAACAATGAAAAAGCGCCCTGGACTTGCTTTGCTTTGCTTGGAAACATCGTAGCGATTGAGGTGAGCTCTTAAAAGGAACAGGTATAGGGATGGGTCATGCGCCACACAATCCCATAGCGATGGATGGTAGGAATCGTGTTGTGAAAAAAAATGAATCGGAATCCCGCATGAATCCCCACATCTCTCGGTATTTGCAATGTGTAGGGGGCAAAGTGTGCATCAAGTGTGCATTGTGTGATTCTATCTTGATGCACAGGTATGTGACGTTCATTCATTTTCTATGTTCTAGCTTCAGTGAGGAAGCGGCTCAGTGCATAACAAACGAATATCGACCAAAGTTCCAAACGATGCCTATGCAACATTCTGCAACATGTGCGACAATCACCAGGACCCCAACAACCTGGTATAATATAGGATCAAAGGTCAAAGCCCTCCCTCTTTGCAATCACCGTGCAAAGATCACATAAACCATCTACATCCATCTACAGTCTACAGGATCAATGTCTCGCATCGCAGCAATTCCTCACCTTCCTCAAATGCCCCTAGCTCTTGGAATCGACTCTCCTCAAATTGACCAGAGCAGAACGTCCACCAAATGTTCATAGTTCTCCATGAAAGGGACAATCAGTCATCGACCTGGGCCATGATCAAAGCCTCGTGTCAAATCCCTTCGCCTGGTTGGTTGATACCAGCTTGGTCCTACAGGACTTGGATAGGAAACCCAAGCTAAATCGGAGCGCTGGTCGCAAAATCGGGGCGTCGTTGCGACAGGATTCATCACTTCATCCCAGCCGATTGCCACGCAAAACTGGTGGCTTCATGCTACTAGTAACAAGTGCATCGCTACTAGTAGTGTGTTACTACCAAATTTGCTACTAGTAGCGATGCACTTGTTACTAGTAGTACCGATCAGGTCGCATTCTGGTCCTCTTCTGGTCGCTCCAATAGCTGGGTACCCCAGGCCCCACCGATGGTGTTGAGGAGCGGGAAGAGGCACGCGCCCACCTCGTTGGACGGTGGGAGAGCAACGTCTGGTGCGACCCAGGTGCCCCCCGCAGCCAGACTTTGAACCTCCTAACCAACCCACCTGGAAACTGTAGGAAATTCACTCCTACCGTTCCTAGAAAATCAAAAACGTCTAAACCCCTGGTTCCATCTTTGCTTTTGACTAAGAGCTCAGCTGGCGAAAGGCGTTGTTTAAAGAAGTCAGCTCAGAGGCTCCACCGCTGGCTCCTCTCGAACAACCCAGGTCGTGCCCGCCCAAAAATGTCAGTTCCTGCCACTCCTGGAACGAAAAACCCTCTCATTCTCACTGAACGTAGCAAGAAGCTACTAATTAGGTGGAGGACATGGCTATCTCATACACATGTCGGGGGTGGTGTGGCTCGTCCCCTTACGTGAGTGGATGTCCCGAACACCCCTCACCTCCATGGATAGCACCCCGTCACCTCTTGTGACTGCTGCTCTATAGCTCCTACGGCCTTGTCTGGGAGTGGCCATGCTTGCCTTCTCTGGGAGTGCTACTCCCTCGCATTTTCACACCAGGAGGCCAGTGCACCGAGCTTGCCCGCTGCGGCGCTGACGCCGTGCAAGGTGCCGCGGAATCTGAGTGCGCCGGCCGAGACCCGCGGGACATGGGCCGACACCGGCGGCTTTTTCTGTCCGACACAGGGGCACCCGGTGATTTTGGAGGTTGATGTGAATCTGGTGAAGAACATGCCTCAAACCAGTTCTGGGGGCGTGAAGCACAAGAACTAATCCAGGGGGTTGCTGGCTGTTGTGCTTCGAAAACAAGATGATTTGGGTTAAAACATCGTATGTGTAGAGCCTCTAACTCTAGCGTTCAAGGGATAGATCTAGGGCAGCTTGTAGTCTGGACCTACACCCAACCCAGCAGCAAAAGCCAACTGCCTTGGAGCAGGCTGCTTGGAAGATGGAAGAAACATACTCACTGCTCACATGATGGATGAGGCATTCCTGTCACACTGGAAAACGTTTCTGAGGAAGCCCAAAGCGTCTCGGAATTAAGACATTTTGGTGATGTGCTTCAAACCTCATGTGGTGGCAGGTGGAATTCTGTAGCAAGAATAGAATAGAATAATAGTTAACAATTGAGACACAATATGTGAAGGTAACTTCCAGTCTGAAAATGTTCCAGTGTACCATCGCAAAGTTGGGGGGTCGATCTGTGAAAATATCCACACAAATGATATCTGTGAACATTTGGGAGGTAAGCTTTGTGGGACAGGTGGAGAGAACAAATAATATAGAACTAAAGCGTGGGACCGTGTTCCAATTCTGACGAATGCGTTTGGTGTGCAAGCTCTTCGATAATGCCGAACATCAAGAACGCCGAAACAAGATCCCCCACGATGCAACTCGTCTTCAACTTCAATCACGAAGCTATTACTTTCTTTACAGCGGTGCAACCTGAGTGGATGGCACAAACTCGTCCACAAGTTGCGCTGGGGAGATGGTGAATGTGAACTTACTCCCCAGGCCTAAGGATACCATCATCCTGAATCTACAAACTCATGCAGCTCAGTTCCCTGCGCCAGGTCAAGTCCCTGCCGCCCCGAGCTCCGCTCCAACACCACGCTAGCAGCTCGCTCCAACCGAGTGGCTCCTCTGGAAAGACCTCGATGGGCAGCACGTAGGTGGACACGCAAACGCCCCAATTGAGACCTCGCTCCGACCCAGTTCCGCACCGGAACGGCGCCGTTCCGCGGAACGGCGACCGGAACGGCGGCGGTTTCGCCGAGTTCCACGTGGGGGAAGGGGTCGTTGCGCCGAAAGCGGAGCCGATCTGAAACAGGTCGAACGTCTGCTCGTCTGCTCGATGTTTGGTGGTTTTCCCCCAAAGGTCTTGGTGATGGAAAAAGCACAACATGTAAAAAACACGATCGACTCCGTCGCGCTGAGCTTCTGGGATCGGCCCTAGATGGGAGCCATGGACGATTCTTCTGGTTCCTTAGAGGTTTTGGACGACTTTTGAAACGGCCCAAAAATCCGCCAACTACGGGGACAAGAGAAAGAACACACAATGACAGACCCAAGGCTCAGCCCTGACTGTCGTCCTTTTGTTCATGCATGAACAGCATGCGCGAATGTTCCATGTCCTTTCTCAATCTGTTGTCTGCCCCTCCCCCCCGTCCTGCTGTGTTGACTGTGCCCTCGTTCATCTTACTTTCGTGTGCGATCCTGGTCCAAACGCCCCTGGTCCAACGGTTTCGCTTATGCGAAAAGCGAATTCGGTTGGTTTCGAAACTCGCCGCGCTTCATCAGCGCCCAAAGCTTGGGAAGTACCGACCCCGGCGGCGCCGAGCCGGGAAGCGCTAGGAGAAAGCAGATTGAGCTACTGATTCTCTCGAAAATGGTTGGATTTCGAAGGAAGTCGAATTTGGAGTGATTTCGATCGATTTGGGCAGCTTCACATACACATGCAGACCTACTAGACCTTGGGATGTTTCTTTTGGATGGTGGAGACTGCCTCTGCGACACAACGTCAAACTGGAAGGAGGCCGGAGCACTTGGTCAGAACATGGCTGCCGTCTTTGGGAGGTGGAGACTGCGCGTCTTTGTTTGTAAGAGAGACCAGAAAGGACAGAATCAGACAGAATCAGGTTGTGCGGTTGTGCAAATGCGAATCAGACAGAATCAGGATTTGGACAAACATGTTAACAGAAGAGCTTCTTTTCCTTTTAGAGTTTAATAAAGTGTTTTCATTGGGTCAACATTCGCATCTGAAGAGTCTGATGAAATCCGTTTCGGGAAATCGGAAGGTTCCTGCAAAGCTAGTTTCGTCTGGTGTCAAGATGTGTTAATGCTTGTGTTTAGTCTTGCTTTGCTTTGTTTAATATCTTTTAATGTTTGAGGTTTTCACTCCTCTCTCTCTCTCTGTGTAAAATGCTGTTGTACGGTTTTTTTCATTCACTACTCTTTCCGATTCTTTCTCTATAAAATGTTTGTTGTCTTGCTGATGACTCTGTCGTCATGTGCAGAACTTATCTCTATAAAATGATTTCATTGTTTATTCTCACCAATTCTCTCTATGTTTTCTCACCTCTGACTGCCATAATGAATCGAAATGCCACACATATGTGCGCCCTATAAAAAGGAAGGGTACCTGACACATATTTGTTATTGGTGAGTAGAAAACCCTTGATGTCCTATAAATTGCAGGTCTTCATCTTGTTCCCAAAAAAAATACCTCTCTGTCACAAAATATGTATAGTTTATGTGTAAATATATATATATATATTAGTCAGTATGTGTGTATACAAAATAGGCCTCAAGGCCACCCATTTCATAGAGGACATGTCCTCCGGACAGCATCTCAAGACTTCTCTGCCTCTGGGGCCCCTGGCCAAAGTAGATGGCGCAAAGAAGAGCGAGCAGCACCTGGCCCCGCCAAAACGAGTCTGACGGTGAGGAGGTCCGGAGACTGACGGACTCCCTGACGCGTGTTCCGCGGAACATCTGGATGGGCTAGATGGCAAGAACTGGGGACGTGAAGGGATGGGAATCGCTAAAGGCATCGCTGTGTACCTCTCCGCCGGGCCAACGGCGGGCTTCTTTCCACGAAACGAAAGAAAAGCGGAACAATACACCGGCCCGTCCCTCGTGGTTGGATGTTTTTGGGACAGAAAGAAAGCCGCCTTGTGCATGTCGTAGAAGAAGCCATAGGCGCTGGCAAATGTGGCAAAGAGCACCGCTTGCAAGACCTGGAGTGGAGTAAGCACGTTGACCCGACCGAAGCAGACCCGACTTCTAAGAAGCCACAGCTTGGCCCAAAAAAGAAGGTAGGCAAGCCAGGATGTCCACGTAACCTGACCCTCAAAAGGGTGCCCTGCAAAAAAAGTTTCCCCAGAACTGCCAATGATGCTGCTTCTTCTCAAATTTCTCAACGCGTTTTGTTGGGGCAAGTGTATCTCAGCAAGCACGAGATGCGTCCAGAGATGCCTCCACTTACCACAGCGATCCTGGCAGGTCGACTCTCCTTCTTTAGGTCGACGTCCTTTCTCTTCATGTTCCGTGGGAAGGAAAAACCCGGCTGGAAGCGCCATGATTTCACAGACAGATGAATCCCTCAAGAACAGAACACTATTAGAGGCTGCCTTGGCTCCAAAAAGTTATGCTTCTTTGGAGAACAAATTGTCATCCCCAACTGTCGACACCGGTGAAACTTCCGCGACACCGGTGGAAGTCTCACTGGGAATGGCGTGCACCTGCAGTGCAAACCCTGGTACCAAAACCACCCCATGGATATGAACCTAGTCTTTGCACGTCGAAAGCCAGAAGTTGATGTTTTGTTCCAGAAGAAGAAAGGTCCGGAACTGTTCCAAGGATCAACAAATCGATGTGTGTTTTTTCTAAGAGAGAGTCATGCTAACTGACAACTTGAACCATTTGGAACTGACACTTGCTTAGTTTGGGTGGCTCTTTTTTCTAAGGAATCAACCATCCCATATGCTTCAAAACACCCGAAATCTGTCAACCATGGCCCTGTCCCCTCTCTTCCATCCGTCCATCGGCACTGCGACCGGGGCACAAAGCCCAGCAGGTTCAGCCGGCGTGCTCGCCACCGAGACAGCGCCAGCACCGAGAGCCACGTGGCGGGGATCGACCATGAAAGCCTCGAGTCAGGTGGGTGTTTTGGTGGTGTATTTTTGACCCTTTTTGGGGCTCCTGTCCCATATCCTCAGGTTCGGTGAGACCCCCTGGCACCCACCCCTGTCCCACCTTCGAAACGGAGGTGGTTGGTGGTGCTTTTATATATATATATATATATAAGCACCGTCCCGGGGTCATTATTCGGACAGCACCTCTGCTCGGACCTCGAAGCGAACGCCGGCGACACCCGGCCGAGAACGGAAGATCGACGTGAGGGTCGGCGGTCGCGGAGCGTTGTTCGTTGTTCGGCCAGCCATTGTAATGTAGACTGGTTGATGAATGAAAATAACACATATGAAGAAGTGGTTTTCCAATCCATGTCTGTCTGGTCAACATTGTTGAGATACATGAAAGAGGTCAAAAGGAAAAAAGGATATGGCTTTTCGACCCTCAACAGGAGAATTGGGAGAAAAAAGAAGGCGGCGATTCGTCTGTAGCTTGACCTGAAGAACACACCGCCCGCTCGCGTGGTTCAGGGCCGACACCACGGCGGAATACCTCGGGCCCCTCGTGCAGGGGTGTCCTGTCTTCTGTCTCGGTCCAAAGAAAAGATTGGAAGAAAAAGCCTCTAGACTCGACCTTGGTCAAGGCACAGGAGGATGGAATGCCAAGCCAAATGGACCAAAGAATGGTCCTTGCCGAAGACATAGCTCAGAATCTGCGGGGTGAAGATGGTGGTCCCTGGGAAAAAGGAAGCCCCGTGCGTAGCGTCGCGTCCGAACGCTCCGGACTCGTGATCTAAGGCCAGGAGACCGGGGGGAACGCAGTTCCTGAAGAGCCATGAGCTACGGACAGCTCTAGACCCAAACACGACCTACCTGGGACTGCCTGCCAGGACTGCCGAGAAACGGCCAGGGGTGGTTGAAAGGAGGGTCTGTCTGGGGCGGCAGTCCGTCCTGGCAGTCCCAGACAGGTCGTGTCTGCTGCATATGGTCCTTCTCATCAAATACTCAATGAACTCCATGTCTGAAGAAGGAGCACTTCGTCGAGAAAGGCACCCAACAAAACCATTGGCCATTGGCACGCTCGGTGAAGGACAAAACCAAAACAAAATCATTGGGCGGCCAGAACAGTGAAGAAACGAGCTGGCTAGCTGGACCGTTTGGGGCCGCCCGAGCCAGAAAACTTCATTGGCTCTCTCAAACTGACGAAGTGCTTCTCTAAATGACTACCTACATCAAAAGTGGTACAAAACGGGACCTGACCAAACGTTATTGTCCTTAATGAAACTATAAATCAATGATGATTCAATGAAATTCCCGTTATGACTGGAGTTTTTGTACACCCGGCACGTCCACCGTCGTTCTTACACCTTGCCTCCATGGGAAACGTTTCAACGATGGGGGCGACGGTCCAGGGCTGTGCAACGTCGGCCCAGGGCCAGGTCCAAGCTGAGAGAGGAGACGTTTTTTTGGCCGTTCTGGTCACCTGAAAGACGCCCGAAGCGTTCGCAACTGTTGGACTGTTGGATTTCTTTGGTTGGAACCTGAAAGTCTAGAAGAAACCTCCGTCACTGGAGTCACCTGAGGACCAAAAGATAAAAAAAACACTTCGACCGCTCAAGCGGCGTTCGCTTCTAAGAAGCTCCGGTGGTGGGGCCCCTTCACCAAGCTGCCATAAGCAGCCACGTCAAACAGGAACCAGCTTCCAGCAGTGCCCAGCAAGCGCCTCTGAAGCCTGGGTCCGCAGCATCGGTGGGGGTGGCGACTGTGGCGACGTCAGAGGAGTTCGACAAAGTGGTGCCAGGTTTTTTGTGTTGATGAATCAACTCCCCCATTTGAATTGGAAATCATCTTCGTATGGGGAGGTACCAAAAAATCCAGAGTCTACATGAACAAGGACAAAAAAGACAAAAAAAAACAAAAAACGACCAGTTCTGCACCTGAGTACGGTCCACGTAAAAACAGGAGTCACCGGTCCTTTCTGGAACCGGTCCACCGGTCCGCGGACCCACACAGCCCAACGGCAGCCACTGGTCGGGCCCGGGGGACGTGCCGCCCCGAAACGGTACCGGTCACGGGTAGACCGATGGTGTGTTGTTGCTTGAACAGACTCGGCTGAACAGCCAGGTCGGGTCGGTCTTTCGAACAGAATCCGACTCGGAAAGAAACGAAGAAGATCGAAGAAGCCAGCAGCACAGGAACGCAGCTCGCGCTCGTCCATGCCGTTTTCACGTCCGTGGACGAATCAACGTGCGCCCCACCGGTTGTGCACCGAGCCGCCGAGGACAGCTGAGTGCTTGTGGCAAACCTTCCCAAAGGCCCAGTTGGGATGCTGGCCGCACAGGCTGTGCCACTGGGTCGGAGATGGAGGTCCCGAGCGCTAAGAAGGATGGCACAGCTCCCAAGCCCAAGATCCAGCGGAACCTGCAGCGATGTCTTCAGCCAAAGGATGGGCACGGGTATCGGTATAGGTATTAGTCTCACTCTTTCGTCTCAGTTAGGCATCCAATAAGCCCCGATAAGATCCAATCAGAGGTCACCATGGACCTTTTCACCTCGCTGTTGGCTAGTTCTGAACCGCTTCCCGAACGATCCATCCTGACATCGGCGGATTGGGCGTCCGGCTCGGCGCTCGAGGCGCTCGACTTGGACGGTCGGACCAATGAGCAAGTGACCCAGGTTTAAGGGGTGACGTCACCCAGGAACCGGGTTCCAGGTGGCCACAAATCAACCAAAAACCGCAAAGAAAAAGAATAAATATGAGCTTGGAGACCATGACCTTGTCTCCTTTTGACTTGGAAGATGAGCTCATTTCTGCTGGAAACAGCAGTGCACAAAACATTCGAAAGCATCGTAAGCTGGCAAAAAAATCACCGTCCTCTGGATCCGTGGCTAGCTGGACCGTGGTCTTCCCCCAATGGCATGGGCACGCGCGGTTCGGGTGTGTCACCACGGGTGTGCCACTTCTCCAAGGAGCTGAGGGCTAGTCTGACCCGGCAGAAGCTTCAACACGAGCAAGGCTACCAGGTAGGGAGCCACACTGCCGGGTGTTTGCCAGAAGAAGGCCTGCAGCTCCACAGAGAGAAGGCATGCAACTCAAGCACTGCAGCACCGGGACGCAGCACGTGCGCACCTACGTGTAGATATGGGTATAGCTGTCAAACTGGTCTTCCGGAGAATCCCCAAACGCAAGTCCATCATCTGGTCCACTGGTCGTGTCACCGGGTCACTTCCACCCCGATGCATTCAAGCCCTCCAAACCATGCGAAAATTCTCGAGAAAGGCTCGGTCGACTCGAGCCTCTAAGAAAGACATGTGTCAAGACATGTGTCATCATGTCGTGTCCATATACTTGTGACCTATCCAATTGCTTCAACCACCTCTTCCACAGCTCTTCCCCGCTGTCTTCCGTCTTCGATCTGGATCTATCTGCTGCACCCCAAGGCCTTCCCCACGTCGTTGGCCTTCCCGGCCACTGCGGCCGTCAGCGGATAGGCGCCACCCAAGCCTGTGTGCCACCGGACCGGTGCCCGGCTCGAACCCACACCAGCTCGGTACGGGCGGTACGGACGCAGAGGTGGGTCCGTCGGTCGGTCGCCAGGGTCGGGTGCAAGGAGGTATTCTGAGGTACCGGTAGATCTGTGGATCCGCAGGGTCAAAGAAACCTCAGGGCCTCCGTTCCGCGTGAGGAAGTGAGTCAAGCAACTCCACTCCGCTGCTGTGGGAAGTTCTGTTTTTGTTGAGGTGTGAAGCTTTTCGGGAGGAAGAGGCGCTCTCGTTTTTTTCGTTGAGACATGTTGAGACACTGCGTGACCCTTCCAAAGCAGCTTTAACTTGTGAGATGATGTGCAAATCAGAAGCAGATAGAAGCAGGTCACTCAGCAGGTGTTTTGGTGATCACAAAGCGGTTCATCTAGTGAATCAGAAATAGTCCAACGTGAGATCACAAAGCACCGTTTGTGTGATCTCCTGTGAAAGGTGCAAACATATAACATCCAAACGGCCACGGGACAACATCTTTAGCGTAGTTGAAACAACCGTGTTTAGCTACAGATCAAACCACTTGATCACATATGATAACTTCGACCCGTCGTGCCCCGTCGTGACCCGTCGTGACCCGCCTACGCCGATGATGAAGCGCCAGAGGATCAATTGACCCCAGAAGCCGGACTCGTCCGGCTGCTCTGGAAGCAAGGTGCACCTCGGCGCTGGAGCGATCGCCCTAGAGTCGGGCCTGAAGAATGTCTGATGACTCCAAAAAGGTCCCATCTTTTTCTGGCCAAACTGCCCAGGTTCTCTGGGTTGTACTGCAGCTGCGGCTTGAACAGGTGTGTCTTCTTTCCAAAGACTTCTGCTCGAACCACCAGCTTCGTTTCATAGTTGCTGCATCTCTGGGGGGGGGCCCTAGAATTCGTTTTTGTTGCCACCATGTAGTCCGTCGGGAAGAAAATCCTGTCCCGTATGGGACATGCACGCATATGTAGGGACCCAAAGTCCAACGTCGACCCAAAGACAGAGATTTCCAGAGTGAAAATTCCCTTACTTGGACTTGCAGTCCAGGAGCTGCCAGGAAATGGGATAATGAAAAGATAGAAAAGGCATGTTCCCCAGGCTGGCATGGGGATTCACGAAGATGTTCGGAAAATCAAACATATATCAACAAAACCAGGCTTAATTATGTTTCACTGCCTCAAAGTCAAAGCAAACAGTGTAAATATGTCATATAAATAGTGGGTCATTGGTGACTTGATCCACAGTCAAGGAACACCCCTCAGCTCTTCCACTCAAAGCAATCACCCAGCATGCTTGCGGCTTGCGCCCGCTCAAACCCGAAGCTGCCCCACCCCAAAAACACCACTCCAATCTCCAATCTCAACAGCTCGACGGCCAACGGCCGCCAACGGCCGCCAACGGGCAAGAGGAAAGCCAACAAGACATCTGGGCACACCGCCGCCTGAGCTATCCTGGGCTCCCCGACATGAAGCATCCCAGTACCACTAAGCCTTTGGTCACCAGCAAGGCTCTCCCATGTCCAATGAGGTCGCCCAGGCACCCCATCGACAGCATACCTCCGTGCAGGGGCGCGCATCTCCGGTGCACCCATCTGGACATGAGTCTTGGAGGGGAGGAAGCACCTTAAGAAACTGAAGGTAAAACAGATGAACTCCTTTGGAAAAGGACGTGAAACTGGGTCAAACCGATCAAACTGGTTGAGGTCGGGAAGTCCAGGTTGGTGTTGGGGGCACCTGTTCACCAACTGAAGATAACTGAAGTTCTTATGATCCCACAAAAGCCAGGGATCGCACCGATGGAAAAGCCTTAAGAAGTGTTCAGTCCCCACATCCAAAGTGTCTTGGAAAACCGTAGATAAACCACCAGAAGCACCACCAAAACCAGCGCCCGGTGCCTGCCACTGAGCCCGCAAAGACCACGGCCAAAAGCCAGTGCAGAATCCAAGCAGCTGCTCCGAAATCCGCCTGACCCCGGCCGTGCTGCGAAGCGCCGAACAGGCTGCGAAAGCGGAGCGGGGAGCGCCCCATCAAGGATGAAGCCGGTGGGCGTGAGCTAAAGGTTTTGGCGGGAAAAACCATGTGTTCAGATGCTTTGGCGGAAATCCATGAGTGATGTTTGTCCGACTTTGCAGCCTACGAGTGAGATCTGACCGGCGATGGCTTGGTTGCTCGCCGGTCAAGCTTTCCCTTTTGAGTGATTCTTCAACATGAACAGAGCACCACGAAGAGTGGCTTTCGTGGGAAGAGTTGAGGAAGGCCGTTCCGCCCATCGAGATGGTCGTCTAGCTGTAGGTTGTGTCGACGACAGGTGGGCTTTGAGCGACACCAGGGGGGAAGAAGTCTTGAAGTGTTTTCCGACCGACACCAAGGGTGGAGATACACCATGGGGCCCAGCTCTTGAGCAGCCGCCACGGATGTGTGCGAACAGCATCCAGGCTGTAGATTCAGAGGAGTGCCTTTCAAGGCCTCAAAAGTAGGTCCGGTAGTGCCCACTGGAATCTGGCGCTTGCTGTTGAGGTCCGGTAGTGCCTGTTGAGGTCCGATACAACCTAGAACTACCAAGGCGTCAAGTGTCCAGCCCATGGGCGAGGACTGGCATCTGTGAAGTTGACCAACAGGCTTTTGGGCAGAGGTTGCACACCGAAAATTGGAACATGGTGGAGGACTGTTTTTCTCTACAACCCTCAACACCAATCCACCATCGGTTTCACTTACTGGGGTGGTTTGTGGTAGCTTGGCAGCTTCCAGAAGAGAGGTTTTGCATTCAACAAAAACAGATGGGCTTGGGGGCCAGGGGATGTCCAAAACATGGAGGGGCATGAGCTCTTCGATCACGAGCACTGACGCTGCCTTTGTTTCAATGTAAAAGGTGCATCGACTCGGGATGGTGAGGGAACCTGCTAGTCCTTTGATGGCGGAACAGTCAATAGACAAGGCAGGATCGTATTGGAAATGCATGATCTACTCATCTACTCTTTGAAAAAAGAGCTTTTCAGCCTGGGCCACGCCACGAGCCCATCTTGCTGCTTGTCTGCTTGTCTGCAGCTGTAGTTTCAAGTGAAAGATCGAGGCTTCACTCGCAAAATTCCCTCACCAAACACCCTCATCTTCTCACAAAATTCATCTGATCGCGTCCAAATTTACACCGCTTCCATCCGCTTCGCGTTGGCCTTCTTGGGATCACTCACATAGCGATCTGCTTGGGTCGCCATCACCGCCAAGGCAATGCTGGCACCTGGGCAAGCATTTTTTAAGGACAGGGGATCATCCAACTGGTTTCCCGGAAGGACAGGGGTTTTGGTTCGATGAGTCAGCAAAAAAAAAGAATCTTGACCTCCAGATCCATCAGGCCTTTTAGCAAATGCTCCATAGAGTGGGTTCTCTCTCATGGAATTTGCACCGAAATCAGCACGAAGAGATGAGGCCTGCTATTTGGCGTGAAAATCAGCCCACCTGTCATGCTTGACCATTGGCCGCCGGCTGACATCGAGCTGACATCGTGCATCATTTTGAGGTCACAAAGCCTTCAAACGATGGAAGTGGATGGCCATGGATAGCCGGATGCCTGAGTGGAAGATGAGGTTTTCCTTTACAAAGGGGAACACACCTTAAATATCCTTTAATATCGTTCATTGGGAACATTTGATTGCGTAAATTCGAGTCAACATGAAGTCGGGGACTCAAGAAGCTAGCTCATCATCGAGTGCTCCTTTTCAGAAAAGGACATGGTCCCACAATGTCCTGCATATACCAAATGTCGGAGATGACCCTATATGCCCAAATGGTTTCTCAAATCCTCTACGTGATCTCAACAATACGATGGTTCCACGCCGCAATCTTGGTGGAACAACTGTTTGGGTGGTTTTATTATGTGCAAAGACACTGTCGGACAGACCAGTGACAGAAGCACCAAGGAAAACAAGGTGCATCTCTCAGTTGTTCCAAACCATGTTCCAAGTCCAAGGTCGAAGTCCTGTTTTCCAGTCTCTGGGTGCATCTCTCAGTCCAAGTAGGCGTCTTTTCCTGTCGAGGCTTCTTTTCGGTCCCCAGCTCCGCACGCGCGCCGCCCGGGGACCGTGCACTCGCGCGAGGGGACCGCACCACACGCCCCGGCAATCGAGTGAGGCCCGGTGCCCTGAGACTCCGAGCTCTGGTAGTTGTACCTGGGACCGGAGCAGAGGGAGCCGGAGAGGAGCCGGACTCTGCTCGGAGGAGGTCTCATTGATTGGTCTCTGTAAGGTCTCAAAGGTTGAGCAACGGAAAGGGAGCGGATTCCGGAAGGTGTTTGTGTTGGGGATGGGGGGGGGTGAAAGAGAAGGAAGAGAGGGAAACACACCTGGCGGATCTTGCGGTGGGTATGGCATGTTCGTGAGAGCTCCGCGTGAGCGGCCGTACTCTTCGGACTCGTTTCGGAAAGGCCCGCTCCGCGGTCGAAAGGGCTTCAGCTGGCTGGCATCTAGAGGCTCTCGTGCGAAATGAGAGAGAGAGAGAGAGCGCGCTAGCGATTTTCAGGAAGAAAGGCCAACTAAAGGCAGACGGAAGAGGACCGAAGAGGACCGGGACGAGCGGTTTTTTTGTTATCCTTTTTCAGGACCTTCCCCAAACGAAGGTCCTTTGGGCTCGACGCTGTTGACTCCCTACAGTTGTTGACTCCGCCAGTTCCGAGAACCGCGGCCTCACGAAACAGCCGGGTCCTGCCTCAAGTCGACCCGACGACTGAGGCATGGTCCCAGCATGGGCTGTCTCATCCCCAAATCTCAAGAGATCCGCCCGCGCTGATCCTGGCTGAGCGCGCCATGGCGCTGAGCGCCATGGGTGAGTATCTTTTCACCGCCATGGCGGGTTTCGTCACCGAAAACCCCCCCCAAGCAATGGGAGGTTGACATCCAGGAATCATGTTCATTTGACCCGGAACTCACCAGGATGCCCAGGTGCCATGACTCGTCAATACTCGAATCGATGGGTTTTGAGAAACCAAGGTGCTGGATGGAGAAGTTGCTGCATCCCACTGCGAAGGCCTTCAGCCATCCTGCGAATCCAGATTTTCCAACATGATGCCGACAGGCATTCTGCTGGTAGCTCTCTCTTGGAAGGTGTAGTAGTTGTTGAATCATGTGCAGAACCCTGAAAGACACTTGGTGACTGGTTGAGAAATCCTTGAAAATCAGAGCAACAATATTGAGTGGCTCAATCTGTCCAAATGTTGGGCAACACCAATAGAGCCAGGAAATTTGGGCAACACCAATAGAATGTTGAACATGTCGGTTCAATTTGGGCAACACCGGGATATGTCTTCAACATGTTCAACTTTCTCTTTGTTTGGCGCAAGACCTTCAACACCCCCTAACACGCGGATCAAAGCGGAGCATGCAACCCCATGGCAATGGACCAATGAGGAAGTCCCACCAAACAACCCTCTGTGGGTTCCAAAAGTGGACATCAACATCATCAACCCAAGCTAGCTAGATGCTTTTCAAACCCTCCAGTTAGATCAGGGAGTTCACCCCGTCGATAAAATCTCCGTCCTCTTTTGTCTATAGGCTCCCCCTCCTTGGTCTGAAAAAACTCGCACGAAAGACTCGCACTCAACTCCTTTCAGAGTCCGTTGAAGGAAGGCTGTGTTTCCACACCCAAACAACCGACCGAGAACCGAACGCATGGCGCGGGAGCGCCGCAGATCTGTTCGTTCCCCCCCAAACCCTTCATTTCGGACGTACCGTCCGACTCCACGAACCTCTCGCTTCACCTCGCACCCACCCGCTTTCGACCGAAAAACCACCCCCCGGACCGGCACCCCCCAAACCCACCCAAACAGCTGTTCCTCCGAAGGCCGAAGTTCGCCCGGACCATCCAACGGGCGTTCGGACCGACTTCGGACCGATGCGAAAGCGCCTTTTTCAGACGAGCTGGTCACTTCCTTTGCACTTCCATACCTCGATGGGTTTGGACTCCCCCTTCCAGGGCCCAACGAGTTGGACTGGAGCCGTTGGAGGCGGTTTTTGGGTGCGATGGTGAGACCTGGTAGGATGGAGTCTTCAGGCAACCAAACATCCCTATGAGGTCATTAGCTGTTACTAGGTAGCTACTTGCTCCGTTCCTACGGCCAGGGTCGCCCCGGACTCGAGTCGCGATGCATTCGCCCCTGGACCACGAGTCTTCCGACGGAGCGATGGCCTTTCGACCAACCGATTCGTTTGGGGGGGAACGGGATGTTCGTTTGGTACGCGTTCCAACTGACTGACATGGAAGTGGAGAATCCTTCGTTTGTGAAAGGAAAGTCATCTTCCAAAGCGCCAAGCAGTGCGGCGCCACTTCCATGTGATGTGTGTTCGTCCAGCGTGGGAGTCAGCGTCTCCACCCGCCACGCGACCACGCGACCACGCGACGTGTTAGTCGCGCTGAGGGCAACAGAAGTCACAACCGCACAGAGTGAGGAGACGGTGTTGGGACCGAACCCGCTGCCTTCGCCCCATCCGATGGGTTCCGGAACCACTGTACGAGCGGGTTTTGCGGCACCCGGGTGGAGCGGCACCGGCACATATTGGAGCTTGCGACCTGGGAAAAAAAAATACGAGCACGCGATTCGCACCAAGCTTCCATGCAGCCATAGCTCATCGAGAGAGTCTCTCTAAGAGATTGAGCCAACGCAGTTCCACGATCGTCGTAGGTGATTCCAGTCACCCCGCAAGCTCGAAAAGCCCAAAAAGCCAGCGAGCAAGCCCTTTTCGAGCGTCCCTCACCTTCGTCCGCATGCAGATCGTCCGCACGCCCTGACTGCTTGGCATCGAGGAAACCAGCGGCCAAAAAGGCACGCCGGTCGGTCGACGCTCCCGTTGGCACCGCCGTAAAACCGCCGATAAAACCGCCAAAACATCCATAGCACCCTCTGAGCCAATGCTCTGAATCCGTTGATTCCATTAGAAACCGTTGGTACAAGTGTGGACGGACACCTTGAAGCGTGGCAATTCGGCAAAGACGTGGTTTGAATGGAACAAGCACGGCCTACGGCCAGACGCCCAACAAAAGGTGCTGGACTTTCAAGCGAAGATTACTGGCAAGCCCCTCTATGCAGCATCAATTTGGTTTGACGGTGGCGCATGGGCAAGTCGGCTTGTGCATCTTCCACGGAGTAGGGTCACAGTTTCGAAGAGGGTCAGCGGCAAGGTGAACATCGTTCGAAAGCATCTTGAACTGTGAGGGAAAATACGTAGACGTAGCTCCAACAATGGTGGTGGAACCTATTTATATCGCGATGTGCATGTCCTTCCAACAGAAAGGAAACAGACCAAGACGTTGCTGCAAGGCCAAGACTCCCATGGGTGGCTTGATCGAGAATATGTTTCTTTTTAAAAAAAAGCTAACGAAGAACCTGCAAGTAAAGTACTGTGTGTGTGGAAAGCGCTCTTCCTTTGTTTGTATCTCGGGGCCGTCAAGAACCCTCCACAATGGGGTCTGCTGGTTGGTTGCTGTAACCACAGGGCGCTTCGCCATTGCGCTAATGATCGGTTCGGTCCCACGCACCGCTTCGCCCCCCGCGTCGAGGAAGAAGAAGAACTTCATGTGTCCTATTGAAGCTTCGATCCTACTGATCCAACCGAGAAGCTTCCTTTGACTGCATGTGAAAGGAACCTAATAGCAATGGCCTCCAACCTCATTATCAACCTAATGGCAATGGCTTTCAACCTAATAGCAATGTCCTCCAACCTAATAGCGCTAGCCTCCAACCTAAAAGCAATGGCCGCCAACCTACTAGAGATGGCC